ACCCAGAGGCGGGGGCTGGACCAGGTGGGCGCACAAGGCCCGAGACAGAGGCAGTGAGAACCAGGACCCAGTTACCAAGGGAGGGAGAAGGGCCCAGAGAAATGGATGCCCCCGGCAATCCCCTCCCAACCGTGCTGCCCAACTCTCCCCGTCCTGTGGGCAGGAGACCTATGGCACCAGAGCGGGGAAATCTGTCCCAGGTCACTGAGCGGCTGGCATGCCCTCCCCCTCCAGGAGCCGAGAGGAGGCCTTCACGCCCACTGCCTGCCCCACCATGCATGGATGGCTCCCACCCGCAGAAGGGCTGGCTCAGCACTGGCTGTCGCAGGAAATAATGGGGCTGCAGCTCCTCCAGGGGTGGCCGCGGGCAGGCCTCTGCCAGGGCTCTGAGAACCAGGGGCCTCTCATCTGGCTGCCGGGAATGGCAGAGCCAACTCCCCACCCTGTGTGGAGCGCCGGAGACCGGGCATCAGTCCAGGGCCTGCAGGTGGTGGTAGTGTCCTGGATAAAAGCCGGGGCTGGAGAGTCAGAGAAATCAGGGCTTCATCCCAGCTTGACTATATCCTGGTGGTGCTACCCTAGATAAAATTACTCAACCGGCCAGAGTTCGGTTCCTGGGCCAGCCAGAACACACTGGGCCTGGTTATGCAGACCTGTATCCTAGCAATTAGGGGACACAGTGGGATCCTGTCCAGGATTAGGGGACACAGAAAGATCCTGTCCAAAATAACTCTCTCTGTCTCTCTCCCTTCCTTGTCACTCTCACACTCTCTCTTAAAGGCAAGTAATATTCAACCTCTCCCAACCTCATTTTCCTCATCCTCCAGGGTCAGCTATGAGGGCTAACGGTGATAGAGTGGACAAAGTCCTTCAAACAGTGTCAGCTCTCGCCATCACCCAAGCACCTCCTCTGTGCTATTCACGCCCACTCTGCACTAGAGTCATCCTAACCCTCTTTCATTGTCCCATTACCGAGATGAGAAAACTGAGGCTCAAGGAGGGGAAACAAGTGAGTATAGCCCACCACGGGCCCTTCTCACCCACACAGTCAGTTACACTCCTAAAATTCTCTGAAAGGCTAATCTAAGGTGGAAAATAGATTTACAACAGATTAGTCATGGCTGCCAGGGGTGTCCTGCTGGAGGATGCCATGATCGATTAACAATGTCTGCACTGACGAGGACTCAGCCACACGTAGCCAAACTTGCACAAATTCGTCTAAGTGACAGAGATTGAACCTGATTTTTCCCTGGAAAGGATGTCCTCTGAAGGTGTTATGTCCTATCTAAAGACCTGTCGCCCGACATCTTATTGAATCTACTGCAAGCAAAATGTTTACTCAGCTGTACGTGAGGACCTTGTCCACCGTGCAGGCATGGGTGAGAGCCACATGAGTGGCGGCTTTCCTAGTCTACCAGGCCCTGTGGTCACGTTGCCTTAAGTACTGCTTTGGCCTTCAGTGCAGCGCTGTGAAGAGGAAAGTCCACCACCTCCATTTGACAGGTGCAGAAACCGGGGCTCAGAGAGGTCAAGAAACCAGCTCATGGTCATACAGCAAGTAAGGAGCAAACTCAGCCCTCAGGTCTGTCTGGCTCTGGTGCCCAGCACGCTCCCCGCCATGAGTCAAACGGCACAAGCTAACCCCTGACCCGTGTAACCCAGGGGCCTCCCAGCTGCAACCCCAGCTGACAGCACATGCCACAGCCCAGGCCAGGCAGGGAGCAGGGCTGACATTTGAGTAAGCGGACCTTTCCCGCCCCAGCTCAGGGCCTAGGGAGGGTCCCAGCAGCCTGCTGGCTCTCCGTGAGTCAGGCGGTGACTCAGGGCCTCGCTCTGGGCTGGACAAGGAGCTGAGTCAGGGAGCATCAAGCTTCAAAGGGCAGCTGGCTCTGGGCCAGGCTTCTGGGCACAAGGGACACAAGCTCAGGAAAGGCCATGGGGCAGACCCTGCCACACCACCCTGCCCCCTCCTGGGCCTGGGGTCCGCAGAGCTGAATCCACATGTCCGCCCTTCCTTTGGGTTCCAACGGGGAGCAGGACCACCTCTGTGCAGCTGGACAGGCAGAGGGTCCTGTATGGTGGCTGCGAGGATTGAGAAAAGCACCGGCACCCTGTGCCCAGCAGCCGGGAACACCAACTGTCCTGTGTGCCCGGGACAGCCCCCCACACCCACGGGAGCTTGTGCAGAGCCCTAGGTTAAACATTGGCCTGACCCCCTCCCATCGACGATAGGAAGGAAGGAAGTTTCTGGCCAGAACAAAGAATCCAAGAGCCCTCGGCATCTGATCAAAGACGCCCCACAACACCTACACGCCATCTCCCAGCCCCCCGATGCCACCCTGTGCTCCAGCAGCCAGAGCCTGCTCCAGGGCTCCCTGCAGACACCATGTCTCTGGCCTGACCACACAAACTCCCCTCAGCCTCACTGTGGCTGGCTCGGACAGCCTAGCCATGCGGCACCGCCGTCCCAGGCCCAGCAGGACCGGCCCTCAGGCTCCCACACGCACTGTCAGAGGCTCCCACGCTTTCAGGCACTGTGGCCTCCAAGTTGGAGGCTCTCACACTCTTTGAAGCCCAGAATTCTGCAGTTTCTGTGGGACAACACTGAGACTCACAGTGCTGCTGAGCCTCACATCAGAACTGAACCCCTGGGGGACCAGCAGTTAGCGTAATGGCTATGTCGCTGGACTCCCACGTAGTCGACCGCAGTTCAAGTCCGGGACCCAGTGGCTTAAACTCACACCGGGCACGTGGGCGTGTGTGCCCAAGATCCCAAGAGGAGAATGGAGGAGAAGGGATTACGGCGTGGCCATCCCTCCTGGGGGGTGATCTCTTGCTTTCTGTCTCTCTGTCTCTCTCTGTCTGGCGAGCGCATGCGCCCTATGGCAAAAACCTCTCAAAAAAAAAAAAAAAAGAACTGAACCCTTGGATGCTGTCAGGGAAGTTTCCAGTCTGAGCGTCCCAGACCTGATGCTCTTAAAGTTGCTCTGCTCTGGATGAGGCCAACCTCTGTCCAGAGCTAACCTGCTGCTGGGCATAAGCCTTGTCCTCCATCCCTACCCCAGCCCAGCAACCTCTGGCCGTGGGGACACCAGAACACCTCACTCTGAGCCCCTCACCTGTGCAGCCCCCAGGGCTGGAACGGCCCTCCCAAAGGAGGGGGCTGAATTCTGCCTCAGCTCTGGGACCCAGGCTCTTGAGACAGACCAGGGCAAGCCCAGCTCTGCCTGCTGAGGTACGACTCCAGCTGTCCCCTCCTGGGCCAGCCCCACTGCCAACCCCTACCTCAGACACCCTGAGGGCGGAGGCAGCAGGGGTGGAAAAGACAAAGTGGGGCGTGACCTCAGGGACCGACAGGTCAGAATGGTAAAACTGGCGGGGTTTCCGGCTTTTCCCAGTGCCGGGCCTGGGGTACCTGAGGCCCAGCGCGTGGGCATATCTCCCAAGGTGAGGGGGCAGGCACCCAGCTGCCCAGGCTCCCAGAGGCCTCTCATGCAGCCCCTCATTTTTAGAAGGTGACAAGGCTCAGAGAGGACTGCCCAGCGATGCATGTGGGAGGCCGGACTCAGACTCACTCCCACCTGGGGACCTCTCCGTGACATCTGGGCTGGCTCTGTGCTGCTGCAGCCCAGCCAGACCTGCCAGAGCCCATCAGAGGCTGAGCTGGGTCAGACATCCAGACCAAGGTCACCTCAGCCACACCCCTATCTCCGGCCCACAGCAGTACTGGCCATCCTGACTACCCAAGACTCAAAGAGGTAAAGCAACCTGTTTAAAGTCACACAGCATGCAAGTGGCAAAGACAGAATCAACTCTTGTCATCCTGCAAGGAAAGGGCCCTCAAAACCATGAGGCCACAGCCTGGGTCGCAAAACCCTCTCCTCACTAGCCCCCAGCTCCCAGCTCACCCTTCTAAACACAGGTCTGTCTGACTCAGTCCAGCTCCCCCCACACCTGCCAGGCCTGCGAGGTCCTGCTGCCCCAGCCTCACCTTCCGCTCTGGCCCGCTCACAGTGCAGCCGCCCCAGCCTGCCTCGGCTGCTCTTTGTGAGGCCTCCATCCCTGTTGCAACCTCCACCAAACGCCCTCCTCCCACCGCCCTCCCCGACTAAGGCCGTTCCTGCCTGAAGATCCCACTCAGACATCGCCAGTGTGCACCCAGCAAGCCCCGTGGGGGCACCCACCAGGGGCCAGGTGCTGAGCTAGGGGCCAGGGTCTAGCAGCAAACGAGACAGGCTCCCACCCTGGCACCCCAGGAGGAGACAGATGCCAGATGAAGAGTCCTACAACAAACAGAGGCTGTGGGGGAACCACAGAGGGCTTCCCTGAGGAGGTGGTACCTCAGCTGGGATTGGGAGAATGCAGCAAAGGATTTGGCCAGGTGAAGCACCGTAGGTAAAGGCTCTGAGCCCTGGAAGGGCATGGGAGAAGAGGAGAGGTGGAAGTGAGTCCAGTTCGGAGGACATAAGGCCTGGGGCCTAGGGTTCTGTCCTGTGGGGAGCAGGGAAAACAGCAGGGTCTCCGGCAGGGGCTGACGTGAGCCCTGGAGGTAGTGCATGGAGGTGGGAGGACCCGTGAGGATGCTGCCTCCGGCCCTGGAAGGAGGCCCAACAGGGAGGACGAGGGCAGCGGAGCCCCCCTGTGCTGGTCCTGCCCGGTGCTTCAGGCCTGGCCACCCTGGCACGCCCACAGGCTACCCCATCACACTATCACTGTCCTCCAAATGTCACTGTCACTGAGAGCTGGCTGTACCCCCAGCCCAGCGCAGGCCTGGCCACTGCGTCCACCCCGCAGCTGTCAGCCACTTCCTGAACCTGCACCTCAGCGGGCACCAGGTCCTCCTAGTCTGACCTCACACCCACGCCTCCCCAGACCACCACCTGAGCTCACATGTCACCTGGCTGGGGGCCTCATCCCAGGCAAGTGCAGGCAGGAAGGCTCACGGGCCCAGCCCCACACCCTCACGGGCCCCAGGCAGGGCCTGGCTGCACAAAGGATATGGATTACACACCATCTTGATGCACCAGTTCCGGGGGCTGGTGGTCTGTCGCAGGCAGAAGAAGGCAACAGGAGCCAGGTCCGGGTGCGGGACGTCGGGATCAGCCCCATCTAGGGGCTCCTCCAGGCCGGGCGGGGAGGGAGGCGGGCTCTGGGGCCCCGGCTGCTCCGTGACTCCCTGCTCAGTGGCCAGGGCTGCTGCAGGTGAGGAGGGTGGCGAGGCGCTCTCAGCCATGTCCGCGCTGAGCTCAGGGCCCTGGGGAGACAGAGCGGGAGAACCCCCGGTTGGGGAGGTTAGCAGTCCTTCTCAGCCCACCTCCCCACGGTGCCACAGCTCTGGCAGCCCAGCCTCAACCCCGCAGGGTCCGAGGGGCTGGAGGACTGGGTAAGGGACTCGCCGTGTGACCAGACCCAGTGGCGGGTGCGCCGTGCACTCTCTCTCCCTGCTCTCATGTGCACACACGTGTTCTATCACGAATAAAGGATGAAGACAAGAGCTGTGTGCTTATCACACCACCGGAGGGAAAGGAAACCCGTGAGGAGGGAACGTCACTGTGAAGGCCAACATTATGGCCACGACTGTGTGTGCTGTGAAAATTGGGGTGTTGTGGAGTCAGATATGGGGGTGGGGGGATCCCAGCAAGCCAGGAGGAATCACAGCGGGCCTCCTGGAGTGAGCGCCGCGTGACCGTGACCAGAGACCTGCAGCTGAGCCCTTACCCCAGGGTCCTCCACCCACTGCCTCCCGAAGCTGAGCCGTGGCTCCTTCAGACCAACTTCGTTGTTTTGCAGATGGAGAAACTGAGGCCCAAAGAAGAGCAAGGCAGACACAAGGCCGGGCAATGGCAGCCGGGACCGCAGCCAGGGCCAGCTTCCGGGACGGGCGGGCAGTCCCGTGGAGCCCCTGGACTGGCCTCTGCTCTATCACCAGCTCGCAGCTCTGAGCAGTGCCTCTGGCCCCACGGTTCCACTCAGTCCTGGGCCCGTAGCTGGCTCTGGCTCCCGTCAGGGGCACGCCGCATCCTGGTGTTGTCTGATGCTCAAGATGAGCTCGCATGCTATTGCGCCCACTTGGCAGGTGGGAACACTGAGACCTGGAAGCAGGAATTCTTGCCAAGGTTACTCACTGCCCTGAGCCCAGACCCAGGTGGTGTTTAGAGGCCAGATCCCAGTGCCAGCCCCCCGGACCCCTTCAGAGACCGCGGACAGTGGCTCCGCCTGCCCCACCTGCAAAGCCCTGCTCCCAGGTCGAGAGCCATGACAGTGACCAACAGCAGGGCGGGAGGAAGAGCCATTCCCAGGCCCACCCCCACCACCTCTCCCAAGAGGCTACCAACTCCTGAAGCTTCGTCCACTGTGGGCCCCTGGCAGTGCCAGGCTGGGCAGTGGGCTGGGAGATGAGGCCCAAATCCCTGGCGCCCATCCAGCTGCTGCTGGCAGCTGCTGGGCCCTCGACTGACAGCCCGGAGCTGATGCACTGGGACATTTCTCTGGCTCCCGGGGGCATCAGGCGGGAGCCGGCGCCTCCTGCCACTTCGCCCGGCTGGTCAGGGAAGTAGCTTTCTCCTGAGCTCAGGAGTTTGCTCCTGATTCCAGAAAAATAGCCACGGGCCTTACATAAGCTCCCAGGCACCTTGGCTGCCACGTGTCAACCACCTGGGGCTGGAAAACAGCCTCCCAAGGGTGGTGCCAGGTCTGCCCACTGCCCCCTTCACTGGCCACTTGCTCTGGTCACACCGGGCCTCGCCAGGCTCCGCGGCAGGCTGGCTGCCCTCCTGCAGGCCTTGGCACACACTGCTCCTCCCCCCGGGCGCCCCTGCCATTGTCCCTTCCCTGCAGACTCATCCATTCATCCAACAAACAGTTCCTGAGCACCTACTGTGTGCAAGCACTCTGCAGGCTCCAGGGCTATGTGCCCACACTCCTGTTGACTAATTTCTGTTGTTCTGGTTTTCTGTAGCTCTTAACACCATCAAACACACATATAATTTACATCTTTACGTCTTTCCGGTCAACCAGAAACTCATGCCAGTTGTGTGTGTGTGTGTGTGTGTGTGTGTGTGCACGCGCACGCCCAAGTCCTGAGAAAAGAATTAAGGAGAAGGGATTGTGGGGGGTGATATCTTGCTTTCTGTCTCTCTGTTTCTCTCTGTCTCTACAGCAAGTGTGCATGTCCTATAGCAAAAATCTCTCCAAAAAAAATAAACACGTCATGACTTTTTCAATGACCCAATAAATAAGGGAGAAAGGAGAAGTAGAGAGAAACTACCTTGCCCTCCTAAAGGAGAAACATTTAAGGGAACGAGAATCGGAAGGCACCAGCCATAAGTGATCTGCAGGAAGAGCACTCTGCGTAGGAGGAACAGGGTGTGCGAAGGCCAGGAGGCTGGAACCAGCAAGGACCAGCTCCGTGCACTTTAGGAAGGAAACAGGCCAGGAAGGGGAATGAGGCTGGGAGTCTGACAGGCCCCTAAGTGAGCCCACGGAACAAGCTTGGGTTTTATCCTGAGTGCAACAGAAGTCACGGGAGGGTTTTAGACAGAGGAGTGGTGAGCTCTGATCTGTGCTTTTAAGCTATCCCTCTGGGGGATGAAGAGACAGTGGGTGGAAGGGCAGGAGCAGAGCAGGAAAGGCCCCGAAATGACTGGAGAGATGGGCTGGCCTGGCGGGGGCTGCTGGTGAAGGTAGGAAGGTGGGTGGATTTGAGGTCTAACTTAGAGATAGAAGCCCCTGATCTGGTGTGTGTCCAATGGCACCCCGTCCTTCCCCCGTCCTTCCCCTCAGAACCCTTCCTGCAGGCGCACAGAGGGAAGGGGCTGCCCCGCCTCTGGGCCCGCACATGGCCACTTCGCTCGCTCTCCGCTCCATCCGCTCCATATTCACTTGCTTTTTGCCTCTCTTGTCCCTGTTTCAAGCTGACACTGTGGTCCTCTGTCTCCACACCTGCCCCTGTCACTGCAAGGCTTCTAGAAACCACAACCAATGGCCACCACTACCAACCTACTTCCCTGTGCCTCCACCCTCTACCCGCTGCCTGGGTCTGCCACCTGCTGACCTGCTCCCCACCTATAGGCCCCAGTCCAGTCCAGAGCCCCCTCTTCCTATGCCTGTCCCTGCCTCTGTGTGCCAGGACTGGAAGCCCGTGAGGGGCTGGCAGCTGGGTCTCCCTGGGCACCAGCCCGTCTGTAGTGATGACCTAAAGTGGGTCAGCCTTGGGTCCATTGGCCTTCACAGTCTCCAAGCTCCTCTCTCTCTGTGTTCTTTAGGCCTTACTGTGATGACATGTCCTGGTGTGGACCTGCTAGACAGGGGGTGGCACATGGACTGGTCTCCATGAGCAGGGCAGGAGCAGAGGCTCACTGTGTCTATTCCTGACTCTACCAGCCTCTTGGGGCCTCAGTTTCCCTCTCTGTTGCCTTCAGCCCTCCTCCTGTCTGATTCAGCAGGCCTATCTGAAGAGACAATGTGAGGTGGAGGTGAAGGCACTCTGGGACCCACAAAGGTGGCTGCCCAAGTATGCATGGGTCCAGCTATGCCATCCCCAGGGGATGCTACCCCAGCCCTCCCTCTGCCATCACCATCTATACCATCACCTCCATCACCACCACCATCTTCACTTTCATCATCACCATCATCACCTACACCACCACCTCCAACACCACTATCATCGCCATCATCACCTACACCACCACCTCCAACACCACTATCATCGCCATCATCACCTACACCACCACCTCCAACACCACTATCATCGCCATCATCACCTACACCACCACCTCCAACACCACTATCATCGCCATCATCACCTACACCACCACCTCCAACACCACTATCATCGCCATCATCACCTACACCACCACCTCCAACACCACTATCATCGCCATCATCACCTACACCACCACCTCCAACACCACTATCATCGCCATCATCACCTACACCACCACCTCCAACACCACTATCATCGCCATCATCACCTACACCACCACCTCCAACACCACTATCATCGCCATCATCACCTACACCACCACCTCCAACACCACTATCATCGCCATCATCACCTACACCACCACCTCCAACACCACTATCATCGCCATCATCACCTACACCACCACCTCCAACACCACTATCATCGCCATCATCACCTACACCACCACCTCCAACACCACTATCATCGCCATCATCACCTACACCACCACCTCCAACACCACTATCATCGCCATCATCACCTACACCACCACCTCCAACACCACTATCATCGCCATCATCACCTACACCACCACCTCCAACACCACTATCATCGCCATCATCACCTACACCACCACCTCCAACACCACTATCATCGCCATCATCACCTACACCACCACCTCCAACACCACTATCATCGCCATCATCACCTACACCACCACCTCCAACACCACTATCATCGCCATCATCACCTACACCACCACCTCCAACACCACTATCATCGCCATCATCACCTACACCACCACCTCCAACACCACTATCATCGCCATCATCACCTACACCACCACCTCCAACACCACTATCATCGCCATCATCACCTACACCACCACCTCCAACACCACTATCATCGCCATCATCACCTACACCACCACCTCCAACACCACTATCATCGCCATCATCACCTACACCACCACCTCCAACACCACTATCATCGCCATCATCACCTACACCACCACCTCCAACACCACTATCATCGCCATCATCACCTACACCACCACCTCCAACACCACTATCATCGCCATCATCACCTACACCACCACCTCCAACACCACTATCATCGCCATCATCACCTACACCACCACCTCCAACACCACTATCATCGCCATCATCACCTACACCACCACCTCCAACACCACTATCATCGCCATCATCACCTACACCACCACCTCCAACACCACTATCATCGCCATCATCACCTACACCACCACCTCCAACACCACTATCATCGCCATCATCACCTACACCACCACCTCCAACACCACTATCATCGCCATCATCACCTACACCACCACCTCCAACACCACTATCATCGCCATCATCACCTACACCACCACCTCCAACACCATCACCATCATCGCCATCATCACCTACATCACCACCTCCAACACCACTATCATCACCATCATCACCTACACTGTCACCTCCAGCATCATAACCAGCACCACCATCATTGTCATCATTGTCATCATCATCACCAGCATCACCTTCAACAGCCTCACTAC